AGACCATGAGTGAAGAAGTTGGTGCTTAAGATATAAGACTGCACTGCTTCCAGTTTGAGTTGGTAAAAATCAATCAATGAAAACCTGTGGTCTGTGAGTTGTATTTGTTAATGTGTATAACATTTTTGAATTGGGTTTTTACTGCACTCACAGGTGTGTATTAGTGGTTGAATGGCGTAAGCTTTCTTATTAAGCTGTTACCAGTCACATTTGAAAACAGTGAAGTCATGATATACATTCACTCGTGGTGTGCAGTGGAACAGGTCTCAACAGTTTTATGTGTTCTGAATCTTTCACAGCAGAGATGAAACGTGTAGCGCGTCTGAAGTCCTAGGTAAATGTGAATAAGAAAGTAATGAATCTGAGCTCTTTACACGTTATGTCCTGTCTTCTGTCCGGCCCTTCAGTCAAACTTTAGGACCCTATGTGGCCCGCGAGCCAGAAAGTTTGCCCACCCCTGGAATAGAAGGAGCGCGAAATCCCCCAAGTGGCGCGCGAAGGCATTACCAATCACCCGATCATTGAATCCCAGGCTAAGCAGTCGATAACAGATGTGATGGATGGTACTGAAAAATAAACGGTAACACTTTATAATAACTACAGCTTATTTAGCCTTAATAAAGCATGAACAAAGACTGAATTCATAATGAACTAAGACTTAATTAATCATGAGTCACACTTAGTAACTACTTAATTACTACCTTAATTAGCACTTAATTCCTTAATTTGCCTGTGCTCTAAATAGTTACTCATAATTATTTCACACTTAATTACTCATGAACTCAGCATTTGTGTGTGCATTTGTAAATGTATACTTAAGTACAAAATTGAGCATTTTATTGATGATTAGTAAGCTATGAGACAATGATTTACTAATACTTGCAATGCAATGATAATTCAGGCAGCTATTATCTGTTAGTTAAGTCTTTTGAGAGCTTTTCTAAAGTGAAGACTAATTATGCTTTATTAAGCATTTGTTAAGGTTGGTCAAATTCCAGAGAAACAATAATCACATTTTCAGATTATTTAGGAATGTGATAATGATTAACAAATGTCTAAGTAACACCATTGATTGATGATTTAGTTCAACCAGTAGTTAATACTTTTGTAAACATTTCTAAAGTGAAGACTGTTTGGACTTAATTAAGGATTGTTAAGGTACTATACGGCCATTATCTAAGCCTGTGTCTTGACTCATTTCCCCCTGAATTTAACTTCAGCAGCGGTGAGAATCAACACGACATAAAAAATAAGCCAACAAACATGGATACAAAAATGTGTATTCAAATAATTTTCAGAACATTTACAACACAGTGTCAGTATTCTGGTTGTGAACTCTTTTTCTTTTAAAGGTTTCAAATAACTTAGTGAGTAAAAAAAACAAATCTAGCCATCAACTAATTAAAAATAAAACAAAAAACTATAACATAACAATAAAGTTTTTAACGTCACATTTAAAAAGGTAAATGAAATGAAATGAATACATTAAAACTGTTAAACACCTATCAAATAGGGTTTTTATTGTTTTTTTGGAACCTTTTTAAATTGGACCCTAAAAAGCATTAAAGGCACATTTATAGTCATTACCGTACATCCCCAGCCTGATGGGAGGGTAAGCCCTTCTTTCGGTACCAGTGGTTGCCCCTTAGGCCAGTACAGTTATTTCAATGTCCTGTATTTTTGTACAGGCTTGTAGTGGAACCATTGGTACTGAAAGAAGGGTTATTCTGCATCAGACGATTCTGGGCCATGTATGGGCAAGAGAAATGTTACAGATTTTAATCCCAAAGTTTCAAATATTAATTTGAAAAAAAAAAAAAAAGATAAATAAACATCAAGAAACCACAATGATAACCACAAGGTTCTACAGATCATTGAATTGTTTCACTATATCATAGATCAACCTTCCTAATGGCCCATCAACATGTTTTCTGGCCAGCCATTCCATCCTCAATTACAGCATGTGCTCAGATAACAATTATCTTTCTATCCCCCTCAGCTCCAGACTGCTCTTTGTAAGAGCGCCATGCCCTCTCAATATGTTGCGTATGGGCACCTGTGTTTGGAGCTACCCAACTCCTGCTGTGGTTAACTGTGTAATGGTGGTATCCCAACTGAGGCAAAATCCGATATGCTCGCCATTCGTCACTGATAACAGACGAGCCTACTCTCACATGCGAGCATGATGGGGACTAAATGCTTCCTTGATCTGCGTTCTACAAGCCGTAGAACTGGCTTCCTTTCACCATTATTTTGCACACCCAACATTCCAAATACCCATCTCTTCTCTTTCCATCCACCGGCCATTCTGCCCTTTCCCGTCTGCAACAAAAACAAATATTTAAAAGGATTATATTAGATTGTTAGATTACATGAATCATTGTCTTAAGCTTACCTTTCGTTTGTGTCGAAAATAGCTTCATCTATTGCTACAAATTCTCTTCTTCCTCCAATCATCTGGCCAGTTTGTCTCCTCAGCTTTGCATTGCTGTCCACACACATCTCTTATTTTTTTGGCCATTCTTGTAATGTTGCTGAACTGGCAGGCACTGAGTCATCCATCATGTCTATTTGTCTTAGCCTAATCCTTGACAAAATCTAAAAATACATACAAAAATATTGAAATTAACAAGCACATATTTGGCTATTTGACTTGACTTGAACCATGTATAAGTTTATTTTGGCTGATTCGTGCAGTTTGTGTATACTTTAAAATTTTCCAGTTTCGAGTTGAATGAACATAACACCTACACCTGTCCCTGTCCACCTGTGCTTGTACCGTTCTTAAAAAAAATAAAATAAAAAAAGTCTAGCTTTGGACCATAGGCTGAAAGCCAGTGGAGCCTATGTTTAGTATGCAAATATTTTTTTGTAGAATTTGTTAAATAAACATAAAACACATGTATCACATCCAAACTATTGTTTAATAAAAATGCAATTAAGTGTTTCATTTGAATTACAGAGTTCCTAATAAAACTTATAACTATGAATTTTTATCACAAATTAATTTGTCACGATTTCTAACGATATCTGTAAATATAAATGCAATGTTTAAATTATTTGTTTGTTTTCATGGAAATTTGCTAAATGTACCACCAATGTAAATAATTAATTCTTACATTTTATAATTGTAAACAACATTCGATTATTAATTGAAAAGGGTTAATAACAGAAACAGGTCCAGGGAAAACATTAGACCTATGTAATCAGATAATTTTAGCAAATTATATCTCCTTTTTGCCTCCAGTTTTAGATCAATATTACATTATACAATAATGAAATTTTAAAATATGTGTCTATTAATTAAGATCAACATAGCCTTATATTATTGTTTGCTGTCATCAAGTTTACCAACCTGAAATGAAATGCATTCCACTTCCTCAGTGATAATTTGACCTTGAAATAGATTTGTGTCTGATGGATAGCTGCTTTGGTCTCCCCCAATGCATGCTGCATGTGACATATCCTATTAAGAAAGAACAAATATTAGAAACATGATAAATAAAATGGTTGTACACCAACTTTTTTGGCCAGTAAGCCAGCATTAAAAAATGTATTTGTGCCTTCCCGTGCGCCCTCGTAGCCAATTAGCTTGCTCTGTTGCCTACAGACTGAACTTTTTAAATCAATTTAAAGGATTTTTAACTAACGAAACAGACTTTTATGTATCTTGGCATTCTGACATAATTAAACTTTAAATTGCCCAATTAAATATGTAATATATTTCATTATAATATAGACTAATTTCCAGAGCATCAATGTGTGGGTTTTTTCGGAAGGTTCAATGCGTGTCCTAAAAGAAGCACAGGAGATGGAGAATCCGAGAGAACAGGCCACTTATTTCAGCATTTCCATTGAGAGAGATTCAAGTTGATTACAAGTACAACTGCCACCCCGAACGACGTCTCTGACCAACTCAAAATCAGGGTAGCTTTATACTACATCTTGACAAAACATTAACTTGTTGATTTACATATACAGCAAGAAAATGAACAATACTGCTGACCAGTAAACCTTATCATGGGTGGGAACATGCACGGGGTCCACATATGTCAGTTTTTCTGTTCGTGGCACTCAAGTCCAGAAAACATGTTCTTTATGGCACTCAAAGTACAGAAAAAACATGTTATATAGACCTATAGATAGTCATACGTGTTTTCCACCCTGTTGTCATTCCAAAGTCCATAATATTGGGTGAATTAGCATGACCAACACATAATATTTCCCACAATGTTGATCCAAAGTTTCGCTCTTGGGTTACTTACTCTCCTCTCAGGCGATGCCACACTGTCAAGAAACTAGGTGCGAGGAGGATTAAACCATTAAAACAATAAAAGTTACTAAATTACAGGCATAGCGATCCCCAGTGTTGGATTTTGCTTTCAGTGTCATATTCCGATGGCAGCTTCTGCATTTCATCTTACTTTTCAAAAGTTTTTTCCTTTGGACCACTGGATGAGTTTTAATGTCCTTCTTTTAGTCATCTCAAAAGAAAAAATCTCTTAAGCAGGTGAATCGGCCCATTGTTGGATATACGGTATGAGAAAAATTGATTCCAGTCTGATTCCTGATTCGAACCCACTTGATGGCGCGTACGCAGTTGCGCATCGTAACGGGGAATTCCCGCTCATTTTCCTCTTCTCTGACTCTAGTGTGACTCTATTCGTCTCAAATTAATTCAATAAAATTTTGTATTTAATTTTAGAGTTTTACCTTAATATAGGTAACATTAAGGTGCTATACGTAAGAATATTTAGATTTTTATTTTTTTAAGTGTGATTTTATAATGGAAAGAAACATTAGTGTTGATGACGTCATCAGCGCAGACCCGCTCCCTTCACTTTCGGGCTAGCTCAGTTGATAGCGCCTGTTCAACGCATGGGTCTAACGCAGAGTCCAACTTTCTGCTATACGTGTATGGTTAAACGTGAAAGAAATGGCTTGTTGCAAACGAAGGCTTAGAAGCACAACACTTAAAAAGAGATGGAGATCCAGGAAAAATGACGCTTCCAGCGGTAAGTGTTTATAGTTTCTTATGAACAGGTCAAAGTTAGCATACTTTTTCAGCTGTTAGATTCGAAAAAAAAAATATATATATATATTTTTTTTTTCATTATTTGTCTCAAAGCCAAAATGAAAATGTCATTAGCGGGCCACCAGCTGGTCGCAGGACTGCCCAGTCCAACTAGGTCCAAATCCGAACTGTGTTTTCGCAGAAACGGTTAGTCCAGGCGGTGACCGGAGTGGGGTGGTGGCCGAGATANAGTTAGGAGGAATTGCACATCAAAAATATTATCAAGCAGTTATATTAATATCTTTATCTAGTACTGTATACAATTCCAGCAGTTATTTCATATAATTAAAGTGTGATGACTTCAGGTTCCCAAAATCCTCACAATAAAAAAAAAAAAAAAAAAAATCTGGATTTCTTTAATTCACTTTTGACCCACTTTTTAAAACTCTCTCTCTGATTCATAATTGATTTTCTTTATTCGTTCGCAGCCAGTTATGTCCAAGCAGGAAAATGCGTACTTTAGTGGATTGGGGGACTCAGCTAAAGACTTCCAGATCTTCTCTCATCACCCCCTCTTCAGCCACGAGCCCGTCCTGGGATCACGTCTAGTCCAACTCTACGACCAGTATCTCAACAGGAAACACAATAACCTCACTGGGCACCTCATTGAGAAGGTACACAGCAGGAAAAACACTGTTAAGTAACCATTCATTTTCATATTGTTAATGCTTCATGGTTTTGTGATTTGGTCATTGTAGTTGAAAGGGTTAAGATCTGCACTACAAAATATGGTCGAGATTCACGGAGGGGAAAATTTGACTGAGGCTGGGCAGAAGAGGATCTCAGAGTACAACGTGGAGATCAAGTAAGTATAGCCAAGTGTTTATTCAAATTCTTTAGGTGCATTACTGACACCTACTGGAGTCATTTCGTATTGCAGCTGTATCTGAATAATTCAAGACACACATAAATTAATCAAAATATAGTCAAAATATTACAAAATTTATAGTGTTATTGGGGGCTGCTTTTTTATTGCTACACCCTACCCTGCATAATAAAAGAAAAAAAAAACATGTAACTATTTTTTTCCACTATTATTCCAAAAGCAGTGTCCTTTGCGTACAATGATTACCTATTATTATACCATTAGTATCACTTTTGTAGTATAAAATTACCTTTTGTAAACATTTTGAATACCTGGAGATACCAACTTATTACTTAGAAACAACCACTGTTTTTCTCAAGTTAAATAAACAAGTTCACCTTTAAGTGAAACAGTAACTTTTTACCTTATAACCAGACACAAAATTGGCCAACATTTTCTCTTTGTGTGTTACCTTACCACTTTATTGTCACCAACATTTTGATAAACTGAATAATTCTGGGTGTGTTTGATTGGCAGTTGCAGGGACACCCATCAGTTGCGAGACCCTGAACAAGACCAAGACTCTGTTGAAGAATATTATTAAAGTTTGGAAAGACTTGAAAACCCTGAGAGACTTTCAGAAGTTCACCAACACACCATACAGACTCCAGCTCAGACAGTACAAATAATCATACGTGCGATTTAAAAGTTCACTTTTGGTTTGTCCTTTTTAGTATTTTTGTTCCGTATTAAGTATTAATGTTTTGTCTCTCTTGTGCTGTTTGTAGAGAGATATTAGACCCTGAAATGGATGAGCAGAAGTATGAGAGGGAGATCATGGCGGAGGTGATAGAGTTGGAGTTAGAAGCTGAACAGGAGTATAAAAGAAAGTGGGACAACTACAAGACACAGTTGGATAAGTAGAAACTGTGGAGAAGGAAACAGGTACAGGTATTTATTATCAAATACACCACCTGACTCACAGACACACAATCAGAAACAGCAGTTCTTCAGTCATTTTTATACTGAAGCTATTTTTTTCTTATTTTATTGCACAACATACTGCATGAATGTTTCCTACTTGGTCTATTTTAGTTTCCTTGCTTTTACCCCAACACCCTAACAACCTATACACATTTTATTATGAGGACAGTAAAGTAGACCTTTACGAAAAATATGTTATTGACTACAGATCAGTAACACCTTTTAAGAGCTGTGGCTGTGGAATGGTTTTCCTATTATTCATCAAATTTGAAGACCCATTAATATCAAGTTATTATTAATGGCAATAAACCATCCATGTGATAAAATACTCCTATATTTTTATTGTATCGAGAAAGGTAAAAAGAAAAAATCCATGAAGAATAAAAGGAAAGGCACAGAGGCCGATTCAGAAGATGAAGAATCTCAGTGATTCAGAGGGGCTTGATGAAGAGGCACCTCCAAAACCAGACCTTCCGGAGAAACCGGATTTAAACTCTTCTGAGCAGATCGTGAGGGAAAAAACCTCAAGGATACTCAGAAACCAAGAGAGCCCATCCTGATCCCAGAGCTGTCTATATTTGTATTTGTATCCTTTTTAAACTGATGCCAAGTTGATGCCAATCCTCCTCAATATGTCAAGAAATATTGAAAAACAGCCAACAAAACACAACATTTATTGTGTGTGCTACAGCCTTTTGAATTTACATGATCAAATATTTAGGAGGCCTGATCTAAAGTTAAGTAGACAGGTGCCAGTACCAGGTACTCTTCAGGTTCGTGGGCAAAATAGCAATTAATGAAAAGAGATATCTGAGGCATTAATAAGGATTTGTTACAAAAAAATGAAATATGCATGGCCATGGCCATGCTTAGCTTCTGATATCTGACGAGAAAATATTAGGTAATTAAATATAATTAAATATAATAATAAGCACCCTCCCACAACTGTGTTTGCTCCATAGACTTAATATATAAATGGACATAGCTAACGCGCTAGCCACTGCGTAGCAAGTTCACATGTGGCTTTTCTGGCTCCTACTGACCCTGGCTCCCATTGACTTACAGTGGAATATTGTGGCCTCTCTCTCTGTAACTGCTGCTGTGAGCCTAGTTTTGGTCTTAATATTTGTATTAATCCTCTCTCTCTTTTTTTTTTTTTTGCTGTTTTGTCTGTCAAAAAAATCCAATTCATAATATAGAAATATGGGTGATGTCACACTCGCTTAGTCCACTTTTTATACAGTGTATGGTCTGCTCTCACCTGCCCCATCCTCATCTGTGTCTGTTCCCCTCACCTTCCCCTTCGTCACATGGCACATCTGACTAGAGAAAAGACAATTCTGTCATAAATCTTGGCAAAGTTAATAATATCAATAGAGACTGAACAGTGCAACACAAACTGGTGTGTTACAATAATCAAGTTTTTTTTTGCCAAACTACTGTCCTCTCTGAGGTTCAAAATTGTGAGCGCTGAACCAGGGGCTTGTAACACCACACCAGACAGTACAGGCTCTGGGCACAGTCCACATAGAGGAGGCATTAGTTCAGAAGGGTCACACGTGGTATGGGTGAATTCCTCATTATCATACAGAGACACAGCCTTAGGAAATAAGAGGCTCCTCATGTTGATGTAAAAGTGTACAAAAAACAGCCTTCAGGTGTTTCATATAGTGTACTACAGAGAAATAAATGTGCCAAAAAGGTAAGAAAAAAATAAATGTTCATAATTGTCTAACTAAGCTGAAAGCTTATACCAACTACCAACCATTACCAAAGCCACCATCATTGCCAACTTGAAATAGAAGCCAAAACAAAATATTTTAAACACGTCACAGTACATGGGAAAATTGATCTGCACCTACTGCACACTTTAAACAGAAGTACTGCTGTGTAATTTTCATTCAGGAGTGGTGATTCATGTAATGTCTTGTGTATTCGCAGAAAATAACATAACAACAACATTCATTTGCATGTCGCAGACCAAATCATTTAAAGGTAAGAAAAATAATTCATATAATGTCATTTCAATTGTTTTTTTTAGTTTGGTTTCCTTCGGGCTGTCTGTTTATTGCACTTAAAAACATGTGTCCTTAATATGACTAGGCTTGCATCAAACCCGACTCTTATTTATCATATTCTTCCTTTGGCTATAATGTTCCACAGTATGGCATAAAACTTATCTGTCTTGAGAATGTTCCAAAGTATGATTAAATTTTTTTCCCCATGAATTCATGCAGGTGATTGTCACCTCCATAAAGTTACAACTTTTAAAAAGTTAAATTCACCTTTAAAAGTCCCTTCAGATGAATCATGATTTTCGTTGTTGTTATATTTGCATTATAATTTAGATTATACATTATTTACATTTTGTTCTTCATCCTATTTGTCATATTCTTTCTAATGTTTGCAGAATTATACAGATTATTGTAAAATTCATGTCATGACGACATCTGCATAATGGCTGGTTGGTGTGACAAAGATCCATCTGAATCTGAAGAAGAGGTGGGCATCTTATACAGAGTCACAGCATTAAGTAAATTACTAATGACATCATTATGAGATGTGGGTAACCATGTGTATTTTTGTTTTTGCAGGATTTTTATGATGCACTGGAATTTCATGATTGTGAGAATTTATTATTATTATTATTATTATTATTATTATTATTATTAAAAAAAAAAAAAAAAGTTTATAATTGTTTTACAACTGTGATATATACACCCAACTTAAATGTCTTTTCAATTTAATTTCAGGCGTGTCCTCATTGCCCCCAGTAGACTTCAGGACTGCACCAGTTTCCTTGGAATCTGATCATTTCTCTGACACACAAGACCTTTACCTTGCAGGTAAAGAGAATGCAAAATTCTCATGTGGTACTGATAATAAATGTGCTCTCTGTGTTAACTTCTAGAACATCAAAGCCATAGATTATTTACACATTAGAAAGCATTTTTAACCATACTATATGATTATAATACTTTACAGTTTCTAAAATATTTTGTGGGAAAGATAATAAAAAGTATAAATATATGATCACTGATATTGAAGTCAAACTTGTGCCAAATGTGAGTGAAAACTTGTTTAGCTGGACTGGCAAGAAGAATAGAATAGACAACTGTGTGGCATTTGTAAGGGAGTGCCACTTTCCAGGAATAAAACTGTGGCTTTACGAGAACTAAGACAGTTTACAGAAATAAATTAATCTGTAGTGTCAGACAAACTAGGAACATTTACTTTGACAAGTATAAACAGAAGTGGCACAATGAAATCTTATGTAAACCAAAATTAAGAACATATATTTTAATTAAAGACTGTTTTGGTCCTGAGCCTTATGTCTCTCTGAACTTGAGCAGTGGTCAGAGGTCAGTATGTGCCCAGCTAAGATGTGGGACTCTGCCTCTGGCTTTGGGGACGGAACGTTTCTACTCAGTCCCAGAGGAGGAGCGCACATGTGTCTGTGTGACATTGTAAATGAAATGCATTTTCTGTACTACTGTCCTTTGTATCATGACCTGCACTGTTAGTTGTTGTCTAATGTATCTTACTGTTGGTTTGCTGTGTCTGATGAGGAGAGACTGGAGTAAGTGTAATGTTTTCAAGCTGGCTCAGTTTGTGTTGAAAGTCTTGGACCTCTGTAAGAGGACACTTTATGTTTGATGTGTGATCTGTCTGCTTATTGTTTTATGTGTCTTATAAGCCTATGCGGGCTGGGCACCAACTAAATGGTGCATGACACTAAATAAATAAAATAAACTAAACTAAACATAATTTTCCAAAAATAAATTTGGCATTTTAGTGAGAATGTGAACTTTTGCCACAAACTGTGAACTGGCTTATACTGTATACTTCTGTGACATTATTAGCAAATCTTATTACAATATTTGAACCAAATTGCCAAAGCCAATTCCCAGTTTCTGTAAATTTATTTACTGACGACTGAACATTATTCAGATTCTGACGGTACAAATCAAACTGACTGAAAGTCTCAAACGAGGGGAGGAGGGCGTTTTTAAATGAGCACCATTTAGCAACACGTAGACTCTCAAATGAGTGGTTTGTGGCCTTAAGTGGTTGTAGTACACAAAAGACTGTGTCAGCACAGGAAACACTCAAACTCAGAAGAGAGTATGGTGCTTAATTTAAGCAGAGGAAAAAAAGATGCTACAATTAAAGTTTGTTGTTTTTTTTACCCCCAAATTATTATGATGTTAACGTTGTGTCTAATGTCTTTCTTATTGTTTATTGAAAACAAAAAAAAAGGAAAGAAAAAAAAAAGCAAGTACAGTAACAACTAGACCAACAGCAGCAACAGTAGACCAACTGAACTGCACATAATTGTGTTATTATTTATTTCCAGAGACAAGTTTGGAGAGTCTGCTGGAGGACCTGAGGCTGGAGCAGCACAACAAAACCAAGTTGACCCTGAGCACAATCCTACAGATTGATGAGAAGAGCATTACAGAAACATCAGCCGGGTCTGTTAGAAACATAGCATGGAATTTTCTGAAGAAATTAATGATGGTGAATGTAACAGCCAGGAATGTCAAAGGCAAAGCATCGCATAGCTGTGACATGGCACTGGAAGAGACTGGGTTTAATCCAGACATTCTGCTGGCCGGTCAAACCTCAGGTGCTATGTTCAACCCTCTAGACATCATCACTGCACTCTTCCTTTGCTCTGATGGATTTGTGCAGCAGGAACTCACACTGAAAATGTCAATGTGTCAGTTTGCGGTGCCTCTGCTGCTTCCAAACCCTGACACCAAACAGTGCACAATGATGCTCTGGGCCCTGAGGGACACTGTCAAACAATACAGACCTCAGTCACTGTTGGAATCTAAGGGTTTCATTGAAGAACACATTGTTCATTCTAAAATTCCAATGGTTTCCTTTGTGAGACTCGGAGAATGT